TTAAGTTGTAATAAAGCAATGCGGGGTTGGAAAATGCTGAAGATGGTGGACGGGGTGAAAAAAGAAATTTTGTGAGAAAAGAAAATAAGAGTGAGGTGTTAATGGAAGGAGTGGTGGGAACAAGAAAATTGAAACGCAAACGAGGAAGATGAAGATAGAAATAAGGAGAGAAAGAAATAAGGAGAGAAAGAAATAAGGAGAGAAAGAAATAAAAAGAGAAAGAAAAGCCATGGAAAAAGAAATTATAGAAAGAAATAGAAAAAGAAAATGAATAAAGATGCAAGGATCTAAAGGAAAATTGAAGGTGAAAAAGCGAAAAAGAAAACGAGAGTAAGAATGTAATGAAATTAAGAGAGGCGTACGGAGACAGAGAGATTGTAGGTATGACAACATAATGAAAGAAAGAGAGAGAGAGAGAGTGGGAAGAGAGAAAATAATGAAAGATTTCAAAATGATAAAGAGAGGGTTAGAGGATATCATGCCAAAATCGACAGAGAGGCTGTGAGAAAACATCATGAAATAGAGATAATGAAAACCTAACATAATGAGAAAGAGGAAGAAGAGAAAAACAGGGAGAGGATAAGACATGAGAGAGAGAGAGAGAGAGAGAGAGAGAGAGAGAGAGAGAGAGAGAGAGAGCAGATATAACGAAAAAGATTCCGTACATACAAAAAGACAGGAGAGAGAGGGTAGAGAGTGAAATGTGCCATAACAGAAATAAGAAAGGGTGACAAAAAGAAGAAAAAACCGAATCGACAAACAAAATTCACGTTGAAACATGTGAAACAAGAAAAGAAAAAAAAAAAAGAAGAAAAGACCAGAAAAGACACCGAGAAAGGAAAAAAAGAAATTCAGACGCAAACAGCGATGGAGAAAAAGGTTGAATGTTTAGAAATATTTCATTGAAAAAAAAAAAGTGGTACAAACAAGAAGAAAATAAATAAATATACAATAATGTCATTTGAGGAATAGTGTTAGGAAGAAATAGACTCTGATGCAAGTCGTATCGGCTATATTGCATGCAAGAAAGAAATGAAAAGCAAACAAGAAAAAAAAAAAGAATAAAAAAAGGTAAAACAAAAATGTCCAAAAGAAGAAGTTGGAGTCTATAAGCACAGAAACGAAGCTAGGAACTGCAACAAAAACAGAAAAGGAAAAGGGGAGGAAAGAAATAGCGGAAAAGAAGAAAATAAATAAAATGAACATAAGTATAAACTAGAGGTAAAAGAGAAAAATAACGAAAGGAAGAGAAAAATAACGAAAAGAAGAGAAAATTGAGGAAAGAAATAAAAGAAAAATGCATAAAAATGAAAGGAGAACATGAAAGAAAAAGCGAAAGAAAGAAGAGGAAAGAAAAAGCAAAGAAACAAGAGAAAAGAAAAGCAAAGAAACGAGAGAAAAAAGCAAAGAAGCAAGAGAAGAGAAAAAGCAAAGAAACAAGAGAAAAAAGCAAAGAAACAAGAGAAAAAAGCAAAGAAACAAGGGAAGAGAAAAAAGCAAAAAACAAGAGAAGAGAAAAAAGCAAAGAAACAAGAGAAAAAAGCAAAGAAACAAGAGAAAAAAGCAAAGAAACAAGGGAAGAGAAAAAAGCAAAGAAACAAGAGAAGAGAAAAAAAGCAAAGAAACAAGAGAAGAGAAAAAAGCAAAGAAACAAGAGAAAAAAAGCAAAGAAACAAGAGAAAAAAGCAAAGAAACAAGAGAAAAAAGCAAAGAAACAAGGGAAGAGAAAAAAGCAAAAAACAAGAGAAGAGAAAAAAGCAAAGAAACAAGAGAAAAAAGCAAAGAAACAAGAGAAAAAAGCAAAGAAACAAGAGAAAAAAGCAAAGAAACAAGGGAAGAGAAAAAAGCAAAGAAACAAGAGAAGAGAAAAAAAGCAAAGAAACAAGAGAAAAAAGCAAAGAAACAAGAGAAGAGAAAAAAGCAAAGAAACAAGAGAAAAAAGCAAAGAAACAAGAGAAGAGAAAAAAAGCAAAGAAACAAGAGAAAAAAAGCAAAGAAACAAGAGAAGAGAAAAAAGCAAAGAAACAAGGGAAGAGAAAAAAAAGCAAAGAAACAAGAGAAAACAAAGAAAAAAGGAAAGCAGAGAAGAAAACGGGAATGAAAGAGAAGAAGAAAGAAAATAAATTAAAAAGGAAAGCTAAGAAGATGGGAGAAATGAAGCATTTAAAGAAAGAAAACGGATAAGAAGTCAGAAAAAAGATAACGAAGAAAAACAAAGAAAAAAGAAAATAAAGACAAAAGTAAAGAAGAAAAAGTAAAGAAGAGAAAAAGAGAAGAAGAAAAGAAGAAAGAATATGCGAAGAAGGAAGGAAGAGGGAGGGAAGGAAGGAAGGAAGAGAGAGGGAAAGAAGGAAGAGGGAGCGAAGGAAGGAAGAGGGAGGGAGGGAAGGAAGGAGGGAAGAGGGAAGGAAAGAAAGAAGAGTAAAGAAAACAAAGCTAAAGAAAAGAAAGGAAGTCATAAAAGGAAAACGAAAAATATTAAAGGATAACGCAAATCAAGAACAATCAGAATTTAAGTAAAAATGATAAATTTTGTGAAAAGAAACACATTGAAAAGAAAAAGAATTATAGAAATGAACGAGAAACGTGGAGTCTGTTTCAGAAAGCGACGATGAATGTAATAACAGGCCATATACATCAAGAAAAGAAGAAACGAGAAAACAAGTTTTAAAAACCAGGAAAATATATAGAACTATTTTGTGGTGGTGAAGAGATGTGTTTCTTAAGTAAGTAGAGAACACGTGATGGGAAAGAAAGACAAAACGCAAGAACAGTTACATAAGAGTGATAAATATTAAGAGATATAGAAAAAAAAAGAGTCTACAGTGAAAGAAGGGGGGTATGATGAAAGAAAGCAAAAACGCGTAGCTATGAAAATAATAAAAGCAACAAAGGAAATAATTGATTTAGATGAGAGTGCCCTGATGTCGAATGAAAAAATATCTTTGGTTATTGGAGGCGTGAAATAGTTGTCAGCATTTATATATTTTATATATATATATATATATATATATATATATATATATATATATATATATATATATATATATATATATATATATATATATATGATTACGCTTATACATAAAGTTAACATAGACGCTAATTTTATCTCAGGATGTAAATTGTACGCCATTTGTTTTTCAACGTTAGCTTGGCTTTTCTCTATCTCCACTTAACAGCGTCGTTCTCTGTCAGAAAGAGGCAAATAACCGACAAACAAGACGACTGATGCACAAAAATTCACATTCTATTTTGACTCGTTACACTAAGTGGACTTTACACGAAATTCAAAACACTGTGTCACTAGCATTCAGTCTTTTACTGTCTGGAATAACGGAAATTCCAGTTTTCTGCTTGCTCTTCACAAGGTTTTCCTTATTACATATAAGGATTTAAGGGTTTTTTTTATTTAATTGAAATTTGAGCGGCTATGAAGCTCTTTGTGGCCTAAGCCCGCCGGATCAAGCTGTGTTTTTTCTTACAAAGGAGCAACGCAGATTCGAAAGATTCATAAATCCACATGTCACTCTGTTTAAAATAAAGGACTTTCAATCATTCCTTTGTATCCACGATAACATAACGTTTTATATATATATATATATATATATATATATATATATATATATATATATATATATATATTTATAACATGTTTTTGTTATAACTGCTAATAAATATTATTATTAAACTCTACTCTGTATTGAGCCTTTTAAAATATAATGTTTGGACATTGGTACTAACCTACCTTACATTTGGATGAATATATATATATATATATATATATATATATATTTAGTTGGACAGATGTGAGTTTGCGACCCTGGGTTTTCACGCTTTAGCGATCGTCAGACACTGACGATCGCTAAAAGCGTGAAACCCAGGATCGCAAACTCACATCTGTCCTGTCCAAATATGTTAGCTCTATCTCTGATATTGAGCGCTTTCTAATAAGTACCGCGCATATAATATATAAATAATTATACATATATATATTTATTTTATATTTATATACACTTTTATATATATATATATATATATATATATATATATATATATATATATATGAATAAACCACGACATTCCACACAAAGACAAAAACATCAACTTAACAATAAAACCACATAAATAAAATTTTAACTTGGTATAAAATTAACCAAAATGAGAAAATTGCTGAAACCTTCTGTCAATTGTAAAACAGTTCGTCTATGAAACTCTGAAATCGGATTGTTGAACACACCATCAACTCAATGACAAACTTTATATATATACATTATATCCAAATGTATGTTAGGTTAGTACCAATGTCGAAATATCATATTTTAAAAAGTGCTCAATACAGAGTAGAACTTAGAAATAATAATAATAATATTTATTAGCAATTATAACAAAAACATATAATTGTTAATATATATTATTTATATAAATATATATATACTTCAATCAGTTAATATATATTATTTATATAAATATATATATACTTCAATTCCATTCCTCAAGTTATGTCATTGTTTTTTTTTTTCAGGTTTATAAGGTTTATACACATTTATAGGATACTTCCCATAATATCGATAGAGGGTAAAATCGATCCATGACGTCTTGCAGTTATTGGACTTAACTGTTATTTACAAATGTCTAGGTTGATATTGTACATCCATTATTGATATCTGCATATATTTTTAATTTTCTGAATTTTAAAACATTTTAAGAATATTTTGGTGGTGTGCAAGCGTATTTATAAACCTTATCAATCTTTGACGGTTTACTTAAAGCCAGAAATTATTTTCAGAATTTACGATTTTTTTTAAGATAATTGTGATTTACAGAGACAAGTCTTAATTAACCCATAGATGGAGTAAGAGTGGTGAGTTCAGGCCTTTCCCAAGGTTTTTGCGCGTAAGTGAAGATAACGAACACATCTGTAATTGGAACTCGTTTATATCCTTAATTACTCGAAATAGGTTTCTTGAATTAACATTTTATTATTAACAAGCACACTCTGAATTTACTTTAGTCATGATCAACGGCTTGCACTCTAAGTAAGGCTGTCGAATTTGAATGCCTAGTGGCATTAACTCCAGACCTTGACCTTAGCTTTAAATAACCTGTAAGTAATGAAATATACACAACACTACAAATTATAAATCGAAACTGTAAATCCATTTTTCGCCACCTACTTTTTTCTTTTAATAATTACACCCCAAGCAAGGCTATAATGTTACTAAGATTTAAGGGATTACTTGGGGATGGGGGGGGGTATAAGAAACAGTAAAACAGAAGACTTTAGAAGGAATCGGAAACCCAGTCCTAAACAGGAAACACGGAGTAAAAATCTACTCCTGCTCGATAGATTTGGAAGGTGTATCAACCAGCTGAAAGGCAAACCTATTTTTAGTATATGAAATATAGAATTTTATTTCATTATATCTATATTATTTCTATTTTTGTCTGCATTATATTACCTCTTTTAGTTATTCTTTTATTGATTTTTATTAATTTTATTATTAATATCAATTTATAAACCATCATTTATTATAATCGCGGTTACTATTAGGTTGGTGCAAAAATAGTGACGTAATAATGTCGTTTTTTGACGTTAAAAAATACGTCAAAAATGACATTATTACGTCATTATTTTTGCACCAACCTAATAGTAACAAAATATTAATTTTACTAGTAATTACAATTTCCTTACCATCCGTCAGATTTCGAACCCGTACGCATTTTTATTTAGGAGATAGATATTTTTTTTATTTGAGCTGCGGGCATTTTTAATTTAATTATACATTAAGTATAGTATAATATACAGACTGTTGCCTTATAATTAAATGATAAGCGCTCGTATCTCAAATTAAGATTCAGTATTCTCCAACTTAGAAGCTGGTACATAGACTGAGAGCGTAACCTACATATACAGGAATGAATGGAAGACGGGACAGGAAACATTAAAACAATATATTACCATAAATAATCAAGATAAACTATGTTTTTCTTTGTTGGAAAAGAAACATCTGTACCGGTTTGTCAAATTTTGTTGAGAAGTATGTCGTTCTCTAAAAGATAAATTTATTGTTTTTTTTTCTTTTTGTAAAGTTAAGGAACATCTGCCGTAAAATTGAGAAAAATTACTGGGTATTTGGCTAGATTCGAAACCATTGAGGACTTCGAACGACAATAGGGACGAGTCTAGCAGAAACACGCAGGTGGGGGGGGATAAAGAAACGTCTTTCAGCGAATTATTTCAAGAATTCAAATTTATCGTCTGCTTTTCAAGAGTTTATTTCAACCTTATGTCTATACTTTTCAATAAAAGGTTTCACAAGAGTGATTTTACCCAAATGAAATTTTTCTAGTAAAAATCCAAACGGGCTTCTGGTCATGTATGTATTTTTTTAAAATATCGTCTCGTCTGCTTCAAATTTTCTATTTCTATTATTATTAATTCCTTTATTCTGATGACAAATATGTTCATGTATGTAAATGTCTTCATACACACACACATATGTATGTGTGTGTGTGTGTGTGCGTGTGAAGACGTGTAAATACATGTATAAATGTTTGTATTGATCGCAAAAAGTTTTAAGATATGCTATATTAATAGGTTAAAGTGCTCAATATCAGGGATAGAGCGTATATAAATATAAAAGTGGACATTAAGGTCAACACTCTGCTGCGACTGTTTGTTTCAGGCTTAAATGTAAACATCAGGCCTGAAGATTGTATTTAAGTATGAATCAGACCATCAGCAATGAGTGTTGACCACAATAGACATTGCGATCAACACGCAATCTTCAAGCCTGGTGGTTTCACACACACATATATATATATATATATATATATATATATATATATATATATATATATATATATATATATATATATAAAAGTGAACAGAGAAGGCAACACTTAGAGAGGCGACAGTCTGTTTCATGCTATATGCAATCGTCCGGCCACATATGCTGTTATTTTTTCTCGGCTATTTATATATATACGGGTTAGTGGTAAAAAAAAATAAAATAAAATAAAATAAAAACGAGCAATATAATTTGACCCAAATAAATAAACAAGCGACTTCCGGTAAAATAACCGCCATAATAGAATACCCACAATGCACCACTAACCCGTATATATATAAATAGCCGAGAAAAATAACAGCATATGTGGCCTGACGATTGCATATAGCATGAAACAGACTGTCGCCTCTAAGTGTTGACTTCTATGTTCACTTTTATATTTACACATCTCTATCTCTGATATTGAGCACTTTATTCCATAAATATAGCACACCTTAAGACTATATTTCTTTTATATATATATATATATATATATATATATATATATATATATATGTGTGTGTGTGTGTGTGTGTGTGTGTGTGTGTGTGCGCGCATGTGAAAAATAAATAAAAGTTAAAATTTAAAAAAGTAATCCTATCTATTTCTTTCTTTTTGAGTTGTGT